AAGTTTTCAGTTTTTCTCACATTCTCAAGTTTCCTGGGTGTAATCCTTCTTGATTTCCCAATTGCTATTAATTTTTATTGCAATTATTACTGAAAAAGGAAGGTTAGTAGGAGAAAAATGAATTACTGCACAAAAGAGAAAATTTGTAGCAGCTACCTGAGCTGGGGCTTATCTTTTAGAAGGGCAATTAGATAAATCTAGAGTCAAAGAAACTAGTATTTATAAACCCATTTTAGCGATGTCCTCACAGGAAAAGACTATGTCTAGACAGCTTGGCCTATTAGCAGATCAGAAAAAAATCAGACTTTTCACTTTGATAGAGATTTCCCACATAATTATATTATAACTAGAGGCACAGTGCACCAAATTTGTGCACTGGGGGAGAGGGGACCCCTCAGCCAGGCCTGCACCTTCTCCAATCTGGGACCCCTCAGGGGATGTCTGACTGCTAAACTAACTGGCAATCAAACATCCCTCTTGCAATCTGGGACCACTGGCTTCTAACTGCTCACCTGCCTGCCTGCCTGATGCCCCTAACTGCTCCCCTGCCAGCCTGATTGCCCCTCACCACTCTCCCCTGCCGGCCTGATCACCCCTAACTGCTCTCCCCTGCCGGCCTGATTACTCCTATCTGCTCTGCCTGCCTGCCTGATCGTCCCTAACCACCTCTGCCTCGGCACCCACCACCATGGCTTTGTCCAAAAGGATGTCTGGAAGACGTCTGGTCTATCCAGTCTAATTAGCATATTACCCTTTTATTAGTATAGAAGTGGAGTCTAGAAATGCCGATTCCAAAACACAAAATAGTTCAGATAATTCCACTGACTCTCATTGGCTAAATGTTTCAGTTAAACTCTGTTAGATGGTCCCTGTTGATTACTTTACTTGAATAACCTACTTCTAGTGCATATAGTTGTATATATATAAGCAGAGCCATAAAGTTTAAAAGTAAGTATTCAGATCAGGCAATTGTGAAATGGATATGAATTTCCTTTTTATCCTCTTTGTTCTAAAGTAAATTATAAAAATAAATTTTAGAAGGAACATAAATTTTATTCAGAACATTTTGCTCTTTAACCATAGACCACCTCAGATATTTTGGAAATTTGAAATTTAGTTATAATGCATTTTCACATACATACAACTGTATGTGAAACTGATCAGTGATAATCCAAAATCAAAACTTCACTTAATATTGCTTGTGCTACATACCAGGGACCAGGCTAAACTTTAGAGACACAATGTACTTTTCTTATGTATGAAGTCTAGATGTTCTGAAACTAGGGAAATAAAATGGCACCTAAGATGTGTGTGAGCATTCGGGGAATTAATCCTCTGTTAATCGTTGTTCCTCTAATGTCTAATGCATGCCTTGAACAGGATATGAGGTGTACTTCTGGGAATGAGTAAGGGTTATCTTAGTCTTGGTGAAGACAAATAGAGAAGCAGCCCTAGGTGTCTTTGAACTTTGACTAAGGAGGAACAGAAGAGATATTTCACCATCTAGTTGAAGAAGTGGAAAGGAGACCTGCAAAAAGAAGGGGGTCATTCATGTGTATGAAGTGAAGAGAAGGAAATGGAATTAGAAAAATCAGAGAATGAATACATATTCAGTTTTATGTGTCCATATTTAATGCCTAGCAATCTTGAAGAGATCTTTCTTTTTTTCTCCCTTCAATTGTGTTCCAGTATGAGATCTCAATAACAAAGGCAATAAATTCTAGAATTGTTTGAGTCTGAAATCTTGGTCTCTTTTAGCTTATGAATGTGGCCTTGGAAATCCAGTAAAATGTGTAGAGTTATTGGTGGTGAATAGCTGAGACCAGTATGTGGTTTAGCAATAATATATGGTTACTGTTTCATTGTGGATTAATAGTTGTTTATGAATATTTAGTTTTGTGTTCCAGCATAACTATACTTAAATCTCCTCTAGACATACTGATGGCCAATATTAACAAGGATTAAAAAAACAACAAATTAGCAAATTCACGCATTTTCTCCCTAACACATGGTTAATTACACAACTGAGGGATCAAAGTCCTGTGCTATGAAAGTATGTTTGCTTTTCACACTAGGGAGCCAAGTTTAGCTGCACTTGAGGAATTCAAACAGAAACTGTGTTTATTAGCCAGCAGCATAGTAAAGGCTATAATTAGATAAATGCCTAGGGACTAGAAAGATAAGCATAGGCACAATCCATCCATTTTTGCTTATAGCTACTTTTTCTTAGTGCTTATTATATGGGTTTCTATCTCTCACCTATAAATTGGTCAGAGTTTTTAGTTGCAAGCCAAGAGATTTATTAAAGTGTCTCAGATAGCTCACAGAATTTCTGTAAGGGCCACTGGGCCAGATTTGAATGCAACACATTCTCAAATAATACATCTTGGAGCTCTGCTTCACCAGCTGCAGGATTGTTATTACCAATTGACCACTGCTGCCACCCTCCACTGATTGTGTTTCATGCCACATGGCAGACACCTCCTGGAGAATCAGATGCCTCCACTCCCACATTTGCCAGAAGATCTATTTCCCCATGTGTGGCTACTGGTTCATGCTGTTACCGTCCATGTTTTACTTCTGCAGTCTGATAGGAAGTATTTGCTTGATACAACCTTGATCTGATGCTTGTACTGTAGGTGCAAGTGAGACTGGAAGGAGTTCTGTGTGTGTGTGTGTGTGTGTGTGTGTGTGTGTTTTAATTCTACTTTGGCAAGGCTGATTCATGATATGAGAATCTTTCAAAATATTGAGAATGCTTAAAAGCTCTCAGGCAGCTACAAATGATAAAGTTCCAAAGGCTATGACTAAAGAAACTCAGTGAGGACACATTTATTTCAGGAAGAGCTAGAAATTAAAATTAGGTGGCACATTAACAGGATGTGCTGACTAAAACTTGGAGACTAAGATCTTTTTCCAATCTTGGTGTGTAGGATTTGGGCAAATTATAATTTCTAAATTGCAAACATCCAAAATACCTAGGGGTACACTTAACATGAAATATGCATGACCTATGAAGAAAGTGATACAATGAGCTGAGGGGCATAAAAGAAGACAACACATGGAAAGATACCTTTTCTTGACTAGAAACACTCACTAATGTCAAGATGTCCGTGATCTCAAAGTCAACCATTGCAATATCCTAATTAAAACTCCAAGTGAGTTTTTTGGAGGGAACTTGACTAAGTCATTATAAAGATAATACTGGGTCATAAATATAGTCAACAATATTCTGAAAAAATATATTAGTCAATGAATGTAACAGCCAATAAAATTCTGAAAAAGAGAAGTGATGAGGGGTAACTTTCCCTGGCATCAAGGCATTAGTAAATAAAGAAATGTGGTTCTGATAGCACAGGAATAGGTGGAAGGTGAGGTAAAATGATTAATCTAGAAAGAGACTTGTTAGTAGGGGAACAAAATATTTGATAAAGGTGACAGTGTAAAAAAGATGGATTATTTAATGAATAATGATAAGAAAACTTATTAGTTATTCAGGAAAAAAGAGCTCAATACTGACTTCACCCACTGTGTTAACATAAAATCCAAATGAATCAGAGATGTTGTATAAAATACTAAGCTATAGAATTATAGAAAAAAATCAAGGGTGGCTAGTATTATACTCTTCTGGTAAGAAAAGCCTTTTACCATCACACACACACACACACACACACACACACACACACACACACACACACCCTCATATACCCTAACGCAGGGGTAAGGAATCTTTTTTCTGCCAAGGGCCATTTGGATATTTATAACATCATTCATGGGCCATACAAAACTATCAACTTAAGAATTAGCCTGCTATATTTGGTCAAACATTTAATAACTCACCCTTAGTGCCTTGGCAGGGCCAGACCAAATGATTCATGGACCTTATACAGACTGTGGGCTGGACATTCCCCACCCCTACCCTAAAGAAAACTATCTACACTAATAAAAGAGAAACATGCAAATTGGTGTCACTCTGCTACACCCACCAGCCAATCAGAGAGACTATGCAAATTAACCCAACAAAAATGGCGGTTAATTTGCATACACAGGCACCGAGCAAAGACTGAAGGCTCCAGCCAGAGTGAAGAAGACTGAAGACTGAAGACTGAAGACTGAAGACTGAAGATTGAAGATTGTAGAAGCTTGGCTTCTTTGCTGCAGCCAGACAAAAGGCCTGGGTCCTGGGTGCAGGAGGAAAACCGGTGCCAGCAGCCAGGGGAAGGAAGGCCTAATGCACGAATCTTCGTGCAACGGGCTTCTAGTTTAATTATAAAATAGAAAAAATTAGTATAGCAAAATGAACCATGAAAAATAGAAAGAACATAAAACAAATTGAGAAAAATATTTGAAATACATGTTTATGTATCTGAAAATAAAATCATGTGACAATGCAGTCCTGTGTTTAAGGATAACAGTTGTCAATCTTTTCACACACATATGGGCTGATAATCTGTGTCTTTTCCATAATGTAATCCCTTTATATACTTCTCAGTGATTGTGCGTTTTTTAGAACCTAGTAAAGCTATGCTGATAAATTTGTAAA